AAAATTTTTGTTTTAATGTATGAAAATACATCAATTTTATATTTTAGAAAAAAAACGTAGATCAATCCTAATCGTTTACATTAAATGGAAATTGAATAATTTTCAAGAAGTATACAATTGATATAAAAATATCAGTAGTCATATGGAGTATCAGATAAAATCACAAGAGTAAGGACACATGTCTCTCATTTACATTTAGTGAGGGTAGATGTTGCCGCGTTGTGACGCAGAGTCGTCTTGATCGTCTTGTACATTCCGGAATATGTTTCGGAGCAAATTCCTTATTGGTGCCAGGATGTCTGGAGCCGTCTTCGAGATCGATCCGCGCTCTTTCTCCGCTCTTCCCCGAGATGCCAAGGTCATCCGGATCGAACTGACCTATAATCCCTCTCGACCTGCGCATGGTCATAGTCGTTATTACCGTACGATGCGTTTACTTTATCGATATCTCGCTCACGATACATGTTCTTCAGTGGATCGAATTCCCAAATGAAACACGAGTAAACTCGACGGTTATTCCTTTTCAGATCGACGAAATAGAACTTTGATATTCTCTCTTGCAATTATAAAAAGTCTTACCATATTTTCCCAAAAGACTCGATTTCGAAAACCGACGTGAAAGGCTCGATTTTTTTTCTCCCGTCCAACATTTTCCATTGAATTCTCTATGCTAAATTTAATCTTTAATCTCGAAATTTATTTTAAGTTCAGGATTAAGCTAAGAAATTTCATCTTCTTCCTCATCCTGTCGTTCGCGCAACTTATTTATGTAAGTTTCCGCAGTTTAAGAACAACTTCAGCTTCGTTCGAAGGATCTCGCGCGAAATTTCTGCGCAAACTGCAGCTTCTTTCCTTTTTCTTATCGTATTCCACGTCATCCCGGCAAAGTACTTGGAGAGTAATAGCAATTATTATTTGCCTCGGTGTGTCGACAGTAATTCCGATAAAGTGCGTCTTTATTCGGAGCGGCGCGAGGGTTTTCGTTTCGTTTTGCATTTCCGAGAGTAGAAACAACTAGTTTCCCTTCGTTTTTCCTTTCCTGAAATACGTTTCTCTTGGAGTAATCGCGACGCGTTTTATTCCTCGTGCTTTCATCGGCGCGTCGCGCTCGGAAAATGCGCTGCAGAAAATAACAGGTGGTTTTCTCGCGCACTTAAATGCTAGTATATCCAATGGCGTTCGGCCACCATCTGTGCGCTAAAAATAAAATAAAACTCGTTTCTTTATTTCCACAGTCACAGTTACGATAATAAGAAGGGCCCAGAGAATCTGAATATTTTCGAAGCGTTTCGCAGAATAACATATACATTTTAAATCGCATTATCCGCGCATAAATTTACGATGAGAATGTGATAAAACATTCTGTTCTCCATCTGAGAAATCTTTGAGAAAAATTTTAAGGAAGTTACGGAGCAATTTCCTTAACCCATAATTTTTCGATATTTACAGAGAATACAATACAGACATTTTTATCGCAAAATTAAGGTTATTGTAAAATTACGAGATTATTTGAGAAACTAGAATTTTTGTTGTTACGATATACCGACGCTGAGAATAAAAAATGATCATTAAACGAGGGCTAACAATAAAAATGAAAATATATCCCGTTGGTGAGACACCATAAATTCAGGATCGTTGCCGTTACGTTATCTCATCGCCCTCTCGTTAAAGAAGAATTTATTGCGGGAAAAATACAGAAGTAATATTTCAATGTTGACCAACGCGGAATTCCGCGGCGTTGCGCCGCGTTTCACACTGTAAAATCGTTTATAGTCATCCGTTGTACCGCTCGCAGAATTTTTATTTGCACTCATAGCCGGCAATACGCGATGAAATATGTATATCGTACTTCACGGAGGATCCTTTCTTTCTCTTTTTCCTGTAACGATCCATTCCTGTAACGCTGCCATTGTGCCGCGGTATAGTAGCGGAAGTAACCGTATTGTAGCTCTCTCGAGAAATTGGAAACCCGTGTATTTTATCCCTCACAAGGCTAACGTTCCTCTTCCGTTAAATCGAGCGCATGGAGGGACGCGTTACCGCAGACAATTATTCTCGTACGCAGCTGCTAACTTGCATATTTTATTAAAGCGCATGATATGTCTCGCTTGATAAGAACTTCCTCTGACAGTATTAAATTATAGCAACTTGCTATCTTTATGACGTCTGTTGGAAATTATGCAAGCGAGGAAAACCCCGTTTTATGCCTTCTACAAGGATATGAACTTCAAATGAAAATTAAACGTGTTGAATCGTGACATATTATTCCATAGTTCGCTACGATTATCAAAAAATAGGACACAATATCGAAACAATTATTTAATCAATTAGTACATTTTTGCAACTCTTTATTATTAGTTGCGATTCAATACAGATAATGGACCGGCTTTTTCATTTCTCGCGAAGATAAACCCTTCCCTCCTTCCCTTTCGTTGAAATTTATAATAACTGAGTTTTTCCGCGAAAAACAATTGCGGCCGGAATCGATAGAATTTAAAATTTATCCAACGAAACAACGAAGCGAAGTGGAAAATAGAAAAACGGTATAATAAAAAACCAAAAGCACGATCAACGGAGGGGTTAGAGAGAGAAAGGAGAGCCTCGTGGGAAGCGAAACAAGTGCAAACTGGTTAAGATCAGCAATATAAATGCACGAAATATAGAGATAGGCTGATACTTGGTACGACATGGCAGACAAATGTGTGTTTTATATCGCATCACACACTTTGATGCGATTCAAATTGGCATACGAGACGTTGAATAGCTCAGTGGAACAGTTCGGGTAGCTATCGAAAAAGCTTTGAGTTAAACCCTTTTCTCGATCACACTCGGACTTGAAAAACAAACTTTATTATTTTGAGGACTTTTAGGATGAAGAATTTTTATTAAATAAATATTCTCGGAACAATTATATTTTTATATTAAAAAATTTCTGGTAAACCATTTTTTAAATTCTATCTAGATATATATAGCCCCTTAATAAACAGTAATTGTTTAACTCTTGAAAAATTAATTCGCGATACGTTTGTTGTAACAATATCAGTGAAATAATAATAGTAATGAAATAACAGCTGCATATTTAATTTAATAATCAATGCTAATCAATTGCGACGTAGTTGTGTATATACATGCTGCATTATTAATTATTTTGTTATAAATAATTTATTAAATGTATTATGAGTTAATTAAACCATGAAACCATAAGAAATTCGTAAATTGCTGTTCTCAAACAAAGAGCAAAGAGTAATCGGGAAATAAGTTTGCCTTGCATTAATTAAACTACAGACATAATAAGACAAATAAACAATGCAAACTTGTGCTTACAAACTAACGGGTTAAGATAAGAATAGCGTGCTTATCTCTCGGTGCTCAATATCGCCAAAGCTTTGTCGTTTAACCGGATAGCATTAATCACTACATAGTTTCAATCTACTGAATTCGCTGAGAGCGTACACAATCGGATATCGTAGCTGTGTGTTTTATTCGTTGACAGCTTCTAGATTCAAAGACCCCAGATCTCAAACGCGAACGTTAAAGTAAGCAAGAACCCGCGTCGAGCTCAGTAGCTTAGTTGAATTAACAATAAGCAAGCAGCCTGAGGGACTTGCTGCGTTTGACTTCAGCGGCAAAAATGTCCTACCTTATGACATTTGCTAAAACCTTGCAATTTACGTTCGCGCGTATTCCTTCTTTGACGGTCCCTCGAGCTCTTCCTTTTCCACTTTTCCCTCTTTTCGGGCTCGAAGCTTGCGCGAAGTGTGAAATATAAATGTGGCCCAAGTAATCGCGAACACGCGCGCAAACGCTCGTGACGTATGCATATGAATTCTTTATCTTGAAAGCGATGTCGGATGCTGTTTGAAAATTCTGCTCGAACAAACATAATACGACAATTTAAAACTGGATTTTGAATTTTAACATCTACAGCTAGAGCACACAATGAAATTTATAGAACTAGCGATGATCTTTATCATAACGTTTTCGATATATGTACATTTAGTATTTGTAGCTCCAAATCCGCTAAATGAAAGCAAATTTTTATTTCAAAAAATATTTAAAAAAATAGATGGTAAAAAATTAATTGATTTGTTCATTGTATTTTTTAAATTTTACATAAAATTTCAAAAACTACAGAAATTACAATCAATAATACAAAATGACGCACACAGATAAAACGAAATATAAACGCCATTTTGTTAATCTTTATTCTTCTTTACAGAGGTCAAATCGATAAACTATAAATATCACATATTTTGCAGTAAAATTTAGATTAATCGGAAAGAAGTAGAATTATTATTGCAAAACAACGATAAAAAAATTTAAAAGCATACTTAAAAAGTAAACTATATATTTTCCGTTTTATAGTTTGTTTACTTATACCAATAGTTTCATAATAAATAAATGTTTTCTAGTCTTCATATACAAATATTTAAAATTTTATTTTTGTATATTTTATATTTTATATATTCGATGTTTTAAAAAAAATTTGTAAAAATTAGTATTGACAATTTAGCTGTCCAATTCTTTGATGATTAAAATAATGATTAGAAATTCCATTGCATGATTATGAAACAACATTAAAAATGACATTAAAAAATAAATCAATTTTTCAAAAATAAATTTTAATAGATGTACGTGTATAAGATATTTTACGATTCGTGGATCATCTCTCAATTATAATTAAAATTATTATTTTCTTTGTAATTATTATAAAAATTATGAAATTTTCTTTTTATTATTAGTTTAGCCTTTTCTTGCTTTCCAGAAGAGATCCATAAATTATGAGACACTATGTATATAATAAACATTTTATATTTGATAAAAAGAATGATAATATATACATATTTTTGAAAACAAAAACTTATAACATTTATATTTCTATCATAACTTTATAAAAACGTGCGGCACGTGATATCTATTCGCCTTTAATACATATTATTTTAAAATTGATATAAAATCAAATCACTATATAAAAGCAGATTTCTGCATAAGATGCATTAGTAGACACTTATATTTGCTCTAGAGTAACATCGAATTGTATTGTTGAGAAAGATTCAATACATTACATTTCTGTTTTTCCATCTCTATTTTTCGACAATATGAATAATAACGCTAACAAATTTATCTTATATTTGACGATTATTTCTTCATTAATATCAATGGTATTGATAAAAGAATGCATGACAATGGGAAACCATGGAAAACCATGTCCAGAAGAAGAGAAACACTTTTGCTTAAACGGCGGCAAATGTTACAAAATTGTGGAATACGAGAGAAAATACTGTGTTTGTCCAACGGAATTTACGGGAGAAAGATGTCAGGAATATAATATATATATGATAACATAACGCATAACACATTCATATTGGAATAAAATCAAGGTATAAATATAATATCGGCTTAAATATAATAATTGACTTTAATATCAAAATATCTATTTTCACATGTATATTTCTATACATACACACACACACACACACACACACACACACACACACACACATTTATTAATTAATTTGTAACTAATAATTATTGTTACTATTATTAGTAATAATATAAAAGAATGTATTATATTAAATTATAACTTTAACTAATTTAATTATTAAGTTATTTATATATATATAATATATATATATATATATATATATATATATAAAAAAAATCATATTGATTTTATATATATATATAGTAAATCTAGATATATAATCATATTAACTTCCCTTTAATAAAGTCTATGTTAAATTGCAAAATAAAAAATAGTTGTAGTAAAATAATATTGTATGTTAATGATAACCGTAACAACGATTTTCTAATTTTCTAATTTAGCAAAATATGACGACTGGCAATGCAATGCTTATACTGGCAAAGACAAAGACAAAAAGCAACGATTATAAAGAAATATTACAGAAATATATATTCTAATAAAATAACATAGAGAAAATATTATAAAAATATCCAATTAGCATATGTATTGTATTATCGTGTGTTATGTGTTTTACTATAGATTTATTATTTAGTATAATTTCGTATTTTGTTCGTATAATATATGCATCTTGAAAAATAAAATTATAATATGTGCATCTAATATTGGCAATATGATTTTTATTACAATACACATTATATTCATCTATATGTTTATATTTAACACGTGTTATTTATAATACCAAACCATATAAAAACAGATTTTTTGCGCGAGAAACGTTAGCATCATTGAAAATTATATCATATTTGTGATCAGTTAAATAAAATTAAATCGCGTTAGGAGAATTGAATTTTTACATTAGATTTCTGCTTTAATCATCTCTAGAGTTTCCGATAACACGAAAACAAAAACTAATACCAACTCGTAACTTCGCTTATTTCGGTGTTAATAGAGCTACGAGCGTCTCGCTGCCAGTTCATGCAGCTTCGCTGCGCATGAACTTGGCGACGAGCCACGTCTCTCGATATGTCCATTTTAATCGAAAAAGCTTCAATCGTCACTTGAGGCATAATCGACATAAATCTCATTGACAATATCGCACGTGCTGTCACATTTATAGAAGTACGTGCGATATCCATAGTGGTGAATCGATGTTCTAGAATTGCGACACGGCGACCTCATAAAATTTTGCGATTCGAAATGTGAAAATTTTTCGAAGCAAAAGTGGCACTTTGCGTTCATAAAGGAAAGCACATATGTCGAAACGCTACATAATATTTTAGTAAAATATTACTTTCTCTATCTCTACTTTAAAAGTCTTGATTTTTCTAAAAGCCTTGACACGTTTGTTATTTTTATAGCTGCAGACTAGTCATAAATTTTAGTGAATTATCTCTGCTAATGACATGTTATAATCTGATTAATTATGGTACAGGGAGTTTTTAGATCGAGTCTGTAACAACAATATTGTTAATATTGGCATAATCGCAGGGTGCTTTTCTAATTTTAGATAATTTTATAATTGAACCGAGTTTAAAAAGATCTGACATGAGAGAAAACCGTCCTTCTGTAAAAGATTTTTACGGTACGATAAAAAGCATACGTTTCCAGCGCATCGCAAACCGGCGGCTTTTGTCACATATGACTAGGGAAACGGGATTCGTTACGCACCGGAAATCTCTTTCATTGGGAAAATTCAATAAAAACGCGGACGCGATCCGATTTTTAAAAATCTGCACGAATAAAACTCTGAGAGCCATGTAACATTTTTTGCTTATTGTACATGATAAAACATTCGAAAAGTCGAAAAAAATCGCATTCGGTGATATATAAAGCGTGAAGGATGATATAATCTTTACAGGAACAAGAGATCTATAACCTTTGCAAAATACAAATTCAAGATAATTAGAAATTTTTCACAACAATGACACAAGAAATTTTTCAAAATTTAGCTGACACTCGTGGTAAAAAAGAAAGAACAGCTTTAAAAATGAAGTAATCTTTCTAGCAAAAGATATTCCTTCAACCAACTTTTACATTAACGAATTAAATATAATTGAATATTGATATAGCATTATTGACATAAAACAAGAAGCGAACGAATAAGTCAGATAAAAGTAAACAAATTGCAAATGCAACAAATATGATTATTCAATCAGTTTGCGAGTACATATTCAGTTTTCGCTATGAGAATACATTCATTACGCTCCGATGCAATTACATATTCCTTTTAGTAAATCCTCGAAAAAGATGACGAGAGATCTCTAGCCTCGCAAGAAATATTAGATTTTCCACAAGATATTTCGCGAGGAGATAAACCGATTTTATATTTAAAATATCAATATTTAGCAAGAGCTTTATCAATATTAGTAATAATAAGTAAATGTAATATTTGTTGTTCATAATTTTGTTAAGTATTATCGTCTAATAACAAAAATAATAAGATTCTCATTTAGAAATTTTTTTCCAACTCTAATTTTTTTAAACGTAATATATTATTTGTTTTTATTAATAATGAAATCAATATGTGTGACATTGAAGTATTAGAATTAAAGTGACTATCTCATTGTGTGATTCGCACGAAAGGAAAGTCTAATACGGCATGTCAACACGTTCCCGCGAGAACGTACGTGTTCCGACGTAGCCTCATTACATATTACGATTGCACAAGTTCCGTATGCGCGCCATGCGCTTCTCCGACACACCGGAGGTGCTCTCGTCGCAATTTCCTCAACGCGTAGCTAAATGGTTCCAACGTGTTGAGCTTGACGCCAGTGATTTCAAACTGTTCCGACTGCTAAACAATGACGGCAACATGTACAGAACTTAACGAAGATTGAGGATGCTATTCAGGAAGGCTCTCACAGCCATATAGAAAGCGCCGTTCCCCTCCCCCCCCCCTCCCTCCCCCTCTCTCTTTCTCTCGCGAAACACGCGATAATATTTCAAGTGCCACATTTAGCCGTCTTTAATTAAAAAAAGATATAAAGTCATAACGATAAAGATAATATAAAAAAACACTAGAATCATGATAATAAAAAATTTAATGATATTTTAAAAGTAGAAAGAAAAACTTCGGAAAAATAACATTTTATATCTAATAAAAATAGAAATTTAGATATATGCGAGTTTGAAAATAAAAATATAACATTTAATATTTGCCATATAACTTTTATTATGTAATGTATTTGTTATGTAAATTTATTCTGAACATATTATATGTATGTCGGGAATATAGGATATTTAATGCACCGAGTGTCACCTGGTAATCGCGATATGAAACCGCAATATGTTTATCGACTGCAAGTATGTGCCATTTCTCGTTATATTATTTTGCCGTATATTACTTTGTTATATATTACTTTTACATAATTACATCGTCTGTTATTTTCGTAAGACAAATATTTTATTTTTACTTTGTCTTTATATTATTGGATATTATTTGAGGATTTGTAGATGTAGAAGATGTTTGGATACGGAGAGAAAACACATAAAATTTACTATAATAATTACAATATTTATTATCACAAACTATGAGTTAAATCGTACACAATAATGTAAGAAAAGCTGTTTAAAAGTTTGACATGATTCATTCCAGTCCCCTTCATTGGCTCATTCGCGCGATGTAATCGTGATCGATATAAAATCGCTACAAATATCTGACAGATTCAATTATTATGGATTTTACTACGATTATGTAGTAAATTTAATTTCGCAAAAAGGACCGTGACAATTTTTTGGGGACTGTGATTTACAAGAGTGAGATTTTCCCTCAGGCCTCTTCGTTGATTATTTAATATTATACACTATATATTGTTTGCAAAATTTCACGAAGAAGGCACCTTTGACAGCAAAAATTATACTTAACACTTAAAAATAGATAAAAATTATATTGTTTTCGTAGAACTACTATATACACTCACACAAACTAATAAAATTGTAGATGCTATAAAATCTTTATATCCCGTACTATCCATTTCTTCTGCCTTTTTAGCTCATTCGTCATCTCACGCGTATTAAAGTGCTTGTATAATCTTTGAAAAATTTTGTCCTAAAATATATATTTTTGTGTACATAAAAATCTATATAGTTATATAACTATAACTATATAATTATTTATATATATAATTATTAATATATTTTTAAATAATTATACATAATTATATAGTTGTAATTAGATAATTACATAGTAGTATATTTATATAATTATTTATATATACGTTTATGAATGTTGTCTATGACAATAAATTAGAATGATGAAACTACAGCTCGCGCATGTAACTCCACAGTTTACTTTCAAGAAACATGGATACTTCGGAATGTAGCGATGACAATGCAAATGATTTTAAAATGCATTTTAGATTGATATAAATTCGGTTATAAATAATTTAGAATTATTTCTCTCTTTGTCGATTGCTCGAAGAGTCCATCGTGAAATGTAGCTTTATCATGCTAAATGAGAATTTTTCGCTCTTTTGTCAATTCTTTTTCTTTTTCTCCTCTTTCTCGAAAGGTTCCTCTCTTCTCGCTGTAAAACATTACGTATATATAAAACAATTACTGCAATTTGCCTAACGATAAAAAAAAGAAAACGAATTCTTAAACAATAACAAGATATACCACGTGCTGCTAAGAATCACATAAATGCTCGACGTTTTCAGTCGTCGATCCGATATTACGATCATCTTTTTCCGGCATCGCGAGAAACCGTGAATGCTTTCCCAAAGCACTGGTCCGTCGGAACAAGGATCTTTTCGAAACTTAAGTCATCGCGTTTCAAAGCACGATTTAATATACCGATATAATTTTGTCGGGCATGATTCTCAACGTTACAGCGAGAGTAAGCGTTATGCCAAACAACATGTTTCATCTAGTCGCGAATAAACATGAGGATAACGATCCCGCATACATTTGATATCTAAATATGAACTCAAGAAAATTATATCGATATTAATCGTTGCTTCTGAAGACACTACGACACAGTTTACAATGTCCCGAAAATTTTCTTCCTACGATCGCGCGGAGCGAATCGGAGTAAATCTGTATATATATATATATATATCTGAGTCGGAGA